GTATAAAACCCATCAGTGGTATTAAAGCCTTGATTGGTTTCTATTGTATTGATGCCTTGTATGTTCATCTTGCTGAAAATCGTTTTTCTGCCCTCTGCCCGGCCTGAATCAGTGAGTCACTTGCTGAACTCGGCGAGTCGGCCCAACTTGGCGAGTCCAGTGAGTGACTCTAACACTGGCGCTCAACCCAAGGAGGAAACTCCGGTTGAACCGATTGACGAATCATTACCTCTTAAACGTTCCAGTAGAGTTAGTGTTCCGCCTGTGTTATATGGTTTTCATATAACAAGTGAAGGTGATACGTTTATTAGTGATAGTACACTAATAAATTTGGATGAACCTAACAGCTACAAGGAAGCCATGGCGGGCCCGGAGTCTGCGAAATGGAAAGAGGCTATGGAAAGCGAGATCCAGTCCATGTATGACAACCAAGTTTTGAATTTGGTTGACAATGTGCCTGGTCGTAAGACAGTCGGGTGCAAGTGGATCTTCAAGAAGAAGACCGACATGGATGGGAATGTGCACACTTATAAAGCGTGATTGGTTGCGAAGGGCTTTACTCAAACTCCCGGAGTTGACTATGATGAGACCTTCTCACTAGTTGCGAAGATAAATTCTATTAGGGTGATGCTAGCCATTTCTGCATTTCATGACTATGGAATATGGCAGATGGACGTCAAAACTGCTTTACTTAATAGGAAGTTGGCTGAGGATGTTTACATGAATCAACCAAACGGTTTTGTCGATGTGAAGCACCCCAATAGAGTGTGCAAGCTTGAAAAATCCATTTATGGATTGAAGCAAGCATCTCGCAGATGGAATCTTTGTTTCGACGAGAAAGTCAAAGAGTTTGGTTTTCTGCGAAGCGAGGATGAATCATATGTATATGTCAAAGCCAGTGGGAGTATAGTTATATAGCTTCCTCGTATTGTATGTCGATGACATACTACTCATAGGAAATGACATCCCAGCCCTACAGGAAGTCAAGTCCTGGCTTGGGAAGTGCTTCGCTATGAAGGACCTTGGAGAGGCTGCCTATATTCTAGGAATAAGGATAGTGAGAAACAGAAGTAAGAGACTAATAGGACTTAGTCAGAATACTTACTTGGATAAAGTACTAAAACGTTTTAGTATGGAGAATTCGAAGAAAGGGGAGTTACCAATCCAAAGTAATGCCAAATTGAGTAAGACTCAAAGTCCGAGTACCAAAGTCGAGATAGCAGAGATGAGCCGAGTACCTTACGCTTCCGCAGTTGGCTCAATCATGTATGCTATGACTTGTACTCGCCCTGATGAAGCCTTCGCTTTGAGCATGGTCAGCAGATATCAAGGGAACCCTGGCAAAGCACATTGGAACGCAGTCAATAATATTCTTAAGTACCTTCGAAGGACCAAGGAATGGATTCTAGTCCTCAGTGGGAATGATGACTTAAGGGTGCGAGGGTATAGTGACGCCAGTTTTCAGACCGACAGGGACAACTACCGTTCACAGTCAGGCTGGGTCTTTACCTTAAATGGAGGAGCAGTGACTTCGAAAAGTTCCAAGCAGGAGACCGTAGCTGATTCAATGTCCGAATCAGAGTACATTACGGCGAGCGAAGCGTCAAAGGAGGCGATATGGTTGAAGAACTTCATTGGAGACCTTGGAGTTGTGTCAGCCATAAAGGAGCCAATGGAAATTTTCTGTGATGATGAAGGAGCGGTTGCCTTGACCAAGGAACCGAGGGATCATGGTAGATCCAGGCATATCGACAGGAAATACCATTTCATTAGACATCGGGTAGCATAAGGACTCCTCGTAGTGAAGAGGGTATCGTCGGAAGATAACCCAACAGATCCCCTTACGAAGGGACTGAGTAGGGTTAAGCACTTGCAGCACGCTAGGAGCATCGGGCTGAAGGACGATATTAGTTTAGATTAGATAGATTCGAAACGTGTAATAGATAAATGTAATTGACATTTGATGATTAAATAAAGGAGTATTATTTATGAGTAAAGTTACTATCTTATGTTAATTATTTACCTAGTGTTTCATTTTTGCATGTTTTGACTTCCTGAATAATAAGATTATTCGAACGTTCCACAGTCACTCATACTTTGGGAGTAGGTATGAAAGAAGATTGTCATGAATTGGTTTGTAGATTATCTAAAATGTATTAGACATAACAAAGGTTTGCTGCAACGTTCATGAGTGCTTATGAACTGGATTTGAGCATTGGATTAGACCCGTGCTTGCTGGTATCACTTCATGGAATCTATCTCGAGTGATCGCAAGACGATAATATCATATGGTCTTAAAACCTAGATATATGGTTTATTATTTGCAAGTTGGTTGTGCATTGATAATGCGTAAACGCATCAGTAACTTGATGTTATAAAACGCATTGTTGTGCATGATTTGATGAGTGAATGGTAAATGCATATAAGTCGAAGTTTATCTGTTCCTTTTATCCTGAGAGGGTAAAAGCGATATCAGGGCCCCTCGATGATTTGGTTTGACTTATGTGCCAGGCCCGGTCTGGACTGAATTGATGTGTTTAATTAAGTTCTATGTCAGATGAATCAGAGATCGAGAAACAAACTGTTGGACAATAAGTAGGACTATGTTCCATGTAATTGTCCGCACGATATCTAGAACGGAGGACTATACGATCCCTTATCTATAGGAAAGGTTACTGATAAGATCAGAGTTCGACAGTGTCTTTGAGAGCTATGATTGCTAATCGGATTGTACTTACACTATAGTTACTAGACTTATCCAAGTGGGAGACTGTTGGATTAGTGTCTAAGCCCATAACTATATTTGGTAAGTACTTGACCCGGTTGTGCATGGTCCTTTTGGGTTGCCTTCACCAAAACAACTAGATAGGATGATTTATGAAGAGAGAGGTTATTATGGTTTATTAGTATATTATATGAGTAATATATTAAAGGAGAAATCATATAGTTTAATTAATATTAGACAAGAATTAATTAAGAATTAATTTTGTGGCTAAAAGAGATTAATTAAATAAAGGAGACTGGATTGCAATTATTGGATAATTGATTAATGGGCTGTGAAACCCTAGGAAGAAAGGTGTGGACGAAAATTAGATGGGAGCCCATCATATTTTCGTCTAAGGCCTTATTCCAGAAGGTTCCTTGGACTGCTTAAGGCCTAAGCAATCCAATTAGGGTTTTGACTGAAACCTTAGCAGCACAAGTATAAATAGACCCCTAGGGCATCAGAATTCGGCTACCAGAAACCCTAGAGAGTTGCATAGCCGAAATTGTGCCTCTCCCCTCTCTCCAATATCATCTTCTTGCTTGTGGTGTTTGTAAGCCATTAGAGGAGTGACACTTGTGACTCTAAGCTCCAAGACAAGAAGATTCAAGCCATTGTTGAAGAGGTAATCATCTAGATCTGATTTTATATGATAAATTAGAAATATGTATGCTAGATCTAGGGTTTATAAGTCTTGGATGAATTGCATATACAATAGAGAAACCTAGATCCAAGCTTTAGGGTTTGCATGAGCACATAGGATGTTCTTTTGTATAAAACCCATCACCACGAACATGCTATGCTCAAGAATCACCACATTTGGAACAAAAAGAACCTAATATCAAGCCCAAAACAAGATCTAAGTGAAACTTCACCAAGTTCAGAACTTTATACCTCCAAGTGATGCCAAGTGATGGTGTGATTCTGGATCTAAAGTGCTTCACTCCTTGAAGATGGTATCTACTTCCTTCCTTCTTATTCAAAGGGACCAAACACACACACTCATTCTTAGAAATGCTTCACAAGGTGGATTAGGGTTGCAAGGACGTTTTGAGAGGATGGAGGCTGATGAAAAGAGCCAAGGTTGAGAGTTAATGATGAATAAATAGGGTCCAAACCCTAAATATTAGGGTTTGGGACTTCACCTCGTACACCCAGCGTACACCAAAACATACGCCCATCGTACGTGGTTCCGCCCCCATAATCCAAAAGTGGCAATATCAGCCACTCCCAACTACAAGCCTGAAATTATAAGGACCAAAATGAATTAAATCTCAATATAAGGGTAAAAAATGAAAGTACCTTAAAACAAGATATTACATCTGCAACCCCCAAAACGGTGCAAATGAGATGGATGTCTTAGCAAAAGTTCGTCAAATTTACAAGGAGAAAGTCGGAAAACCTTTTGGCAATGAGGTGTTTTGGGGAGTTGTGAAGGGCAAACCAAAATCACTACTAGAAAACAACCCTTTAATGACGCGCAAACAATGACACGCGCTGATAGAGGACACGCATTTGTGTGTGCCCTAAAAAATAATGCCAGTTTTTAAAAATTTGAAGGATAGAGGACACACATTTGTGCGTGCCCTAAAATTAGTGTCAGACAAGAAAAAAAAGAAAATGCGGAGGGCGCCTTTCATAAAATGTGTGTCATCTAAGTGTGTCGCTTTATAATTTTTTAATGAAACACGCGTTTTAAGGCGGGATTTCACGATCCCAAAAATTAAACCCCCCGCCTCTTCCAATTAGCAAGAAAAATCCCTAGGCCTCCGTCTTCATAGAAGAATTGCTCTTGCTTTCATGATCAAATGCCTCGCGACGACGATGATAACGATCAGCATAAAGAATCCAAATACGTGAAATAGAGGCAAGGGACGATTCTACTTTTTTTTAAGAAGCCTATTCAACATATGCACAGACTTTTCTCTCTCTCTCTCTCTCTCTCTCTCTCTCTCTCTCAAACACACACAAAAAATTGAAGGGACGATTCTAGGGCTTTTTTCAAGAACCATTCAAAACGTAAAGGAGTGCTCTCTACAATAGTTTGGCGACGTCGTCTCACCTCACCTCGTCGGCGAATGTGACTCCTCGAAGATTTAGGGTTGTGCTCGGTGTTGTGCTCAGTGATTCAGCATCTAACTGAGGTCTAAGGTTATGTGGTTGTATCAGATTTTAGAGTATCATTCTCAGATGCTTCAGATGTTCCTTTGAACACGAAGACAATAGCTGACCATTTATGCCGTCATTTCCAATGGTGTGGAGGCGCTTCCTTTGCACCCACACATCTGACTTCTCTTTCTTCAACCAAAAACCCGCCGCCATTATCCATCCTCAATGGCCTGTAAAACAGGTCACCAGGTCCAACTTCGTAGATTCACTCGATGAAATTAAGAATCACATATCGGAATCAGATTTTGTGGCGGTTTCGTTGAAGAACACCGGTTCTTACTCGTCCCCATAGCATCGAATTCTGCCCTTTGACACGGCTGAAACCGCATACCTGAAGGCCAAGTATGCCGCCGAAAGGTTTCTGATTCATCAGCTTGCGTTTTGCCCTTTTTCTATTAGGGCTTCCAATAAGCTTACATCTCACCCGTAAGTCTGCAATAATCATATCTCGCTATTTACATGCATATATCTCGCTATTTACATGCCTTAATAACACTTATCAGAACAATAATAAACATATTGATGATCAACACTGTTTTCTCAATTCATCTGTAGGTTCAACTTCCATTTGTTCCCGAGGGATGAACTGAAAACAGGGATGCCCTGTTACAGTTTTTCATGTCAACCATCGTATTTAGCTTCAATGGATCAAGATGATTTTGACTTCAATCTCTACATATATGATGGTAACCCCCATCTCTTCTTCTTCCTCAAAACGGTCCGATTTCTGATCAACATGCTTCTATCTAAGCCCGCTTTTCTTTTACTCTCCCCTTTAAGGTATATCTTACTTGTCCAGAGCACAAGAATCAGCAGCAAAAATTCAAATCGAGGATATGATGTTTGGTGATTGTTCTGTGATGGAGAAATAAGGGTGTGTTCATAGGCAATTTAAATCTACAATCACTAACAAAATATTATCTTCCATGTTTTTGTTGGCATAACAAACAGGTAATATTTCAATGATATACTTTGTTGACCAAATTGGACCTTCCCCTTCTGCTCAAAGTGTAGTATTGCGTGATTTGCCTCTTCGTGATGTGGGTCAGCATCCTCTCTACCATTCTGCATTGTTTTTGTTCTTCTTCTTATTCAAATGTTGATAAACAACATTTTATTTCAGGTTATTTTTTGTCTCTGAGAAACTTGTAATTGGTGTAGGCTATGACTGCAATCCCATGGTTTTTGCAGCAGATGGAATAGGATCATGGTACAATTCTGAGTTTCAGTTTTCAGGGTTAATTGCAAGAAAAAGAAATAAAATTTCATTTGTTTTCTTTGATCTATGTTCTTAGGAGCTTTGTGAGGTTCCTTGATGAAAAAAGTCAGCATCTTCTACTGCAAGATAGGGCTCACAGGTTCTTCTTACACTCAAATCATTTACGCCTTTCTTGATGAAAAAAAAGTCAACTTTGTTTATATGCCTACTTATATGACCTTGGATGAGCTTTAAACTTTCAATATTTTCACAAAAACTTGCAATATTTTGGCATCAAACTCCTTACTTTGTGGGTACTTGGGCAAACTTGAAGGGTGGCAAGGTAAAGGCTTTGTTGTCCTCAAAAATACATGGATTAACGTGTCAAGACACTGACCCTTTACCTATTTTGCCCTTCTTTTTTATCCTTTCAAGTCAAAATTGATGAGTATTGTGAAATTTGTCTTTTGGAAAGTAAGGGTAAGATGGTCATTTAGTGTACCTCACTATGCAGTGCAGAAGAAGAAGATCCTCGGTTATGAGGTTCAACTGCAAGGAGACAATCCAAAAGCATTAAAGCCGATGGAGGGAATCGTTGAATGTCTCACCCACACACCGTTTGTAAGGCTATTGTGGTTTAAAAATAGTGGCATGAGGCAACTTTGATTTTCTCCAGTACTCTTCAGATGGCGAACAACAAAGTTTAAAAATTTTGTGTAATTGTTTCACCTGTGAATCATTAATAAGAAAAATATGAAATAGAGGGCAAAATAGTCAGTTTACATGCATATAATCAGGGTGCTGGTTTCAGGGACTAAAAAGGTGAATACCACAGGGACCATCTTAGTTTTTGTTTAGCTGTACGTTTACATTTTCGAGTTGAAAAGGTACAGATCTGTGAAATTGGTTAAGGTTTTGTATTACATTTTTTTAGGTTTGTGTTATTAGAAACAAATTGTTCTACTCAATAAACAAGATGATTGCCTAAAAGAAAGAGATAAACCTGTGATTCGGTAAACTTAATCATAGGAGATGACGCAAGTCCAGCAAGATCATGGTCCATGTAATCAAATACAAGATACAAATTTCTAGAAATCCTAGATGTTAGTAAACCTTAAAGCTTCATCACATTTGGATGGTCTAACCTACGAAGAACAATAATCTCTCTTGCCATAAACCTAACACTTTCTGGATCCTTACCTTCTTTAAAGCAACAATCTTTCCAATTTCCAGGTCTCGAGCTCTGTACACGCTGCTGTAAGTCCCCTGTATTTTACAATTCCTTTGATAGATTGCATTCATATAAACCAACCAAAAGCCCTTTATTACATTGTTTCTGATTTGCAGCTGACAGAAACATTTGGGAAGTTCTATGGAAGCTCAAAACAGGGAACCAGCAATGATAAATCTCGTGGTGGTGTTCATGACAACTGCATCAAGTATATATCACCATTCTTACTTTTTTTTTCTAATTTAATTTATTCTTCTTAATTTTAATGTTGTGAAGACATAATGACATTTTTCACTCTTGTTTAATCAATTTTCGTATCTGACATTTCTAGTTGCATTGTGCCTTTCAAGACATCATCAGGGAGTAACAAAATGACAAGCTTTAGCACTTCAGGTAAACATAATTCCCTTCTTTTAAACCAATAACCATTTAGAGCATTAAATATCTTACCAATTATGGAAATGTCATCAAAATAGAAATCTAACTACACTGCTGAGATAAGGAAAAAAAATAAAGCCGAAATTACCAATTTCTTATTTTGTACATTTAGAAAGCTACAACATTACATATTTTTTATAAAAATGTGTAACTTTGTTGCATAAATAAGGAGATAGCATAGTTCAGTTATCAGTTTGATGATATTGTTTTTTTATTAATATTACAGGACTAGATGGAAAAGTTGTGATATTTTTCAAGCTTCAATCTGGAGTATCTCTTTTGAACATGTTTGTCATGTAGAAATCTCAATATTTGTTATTTTTGAACAGTTAACACTTTTGCTTGGCTATGTGAAGGGACACATCAACAAAATACCTTGCACTGTTTCTGGCCAGGTGCCTGGCTGGTCATCATTGATGAAGGGGTCTCCTTTTACTCTTCACTTCCAGTCAACCTTTTTTTTTCTTTTTCTTGTATAACATTTAACTTGTGAACTGCAGTTCACAGGTAGAGGAAAAAAAATGTTAATTATATGGAAGTGGATGCACTTCATTATGTCCTGCTCTTGCATGATTTCTGAGCTTTCAATGGGGAAGAGTGAGGGGGTATTTTGGAGAATGGACACTTCTTGCATGTGGAGCTTGTGGTCAGGTATGCTCTACAAATGTTATGCCTTTTTCCTTTTTAACATAAAATACAAAGGTCAAGTATGGTCTACATATGTTGTGATGTGATGATTTTATGGTTTGATTCATCAGTTTGTTCACATGAAAACCAACAAACACTGCCCCAAGTACAGAGAAAATTCCAACATCAAAACACTTGGAGAAATAAAGTTGATCTTGCATCGGGAGATATACGTGTTGCAAAGTGTATCAAGTCTGACTACCCATGTGTCCCATTGGAGGAAGCTCAAGGTTCTTTACTTCTCTTACACTGTAATAATTCATCATCACACTTATTTTGTAGTTATGTTTTTTTTTTGCAGGAAATATAGATACTGTGAGCAAGTTCATAGATTTAGAGTCCTTGGGTGGTGTTATTAAGGAAGAGTGGAGACAAGTAAGGCACACATTTAAAAAAATCAGCACAAATCTTGTTTACAGTGAGGCACACATTAGGTTATTAGAACTATTAGTTTATAAATTTCTGTTACAACTTCTATTGATTTGTTTTATCTTTCCATGGAACGATTATTTGTATGACATTAAATTTTATGTAATGGATTGTTTTTTTTGTATATGATATTTTATTTTCTATTATGAGACATTAAATGCAAATTTAATTTCAAAATTAGTAAATCTATAAATAATATTTTTTTAAACATTTAAAATTACAATACGCAAAAAGGTGTGTCATCTTCATTTATGACATGGCCTTTCTTGACAGGGGCTTTAATGATACACAATGCGAGTTGTAAGGTTACGACACGCAAATACGTGTCGTCTTCCGTTATGACAGGGTCTTCCTTGATATGCATTGCGTGTCGTAAATGAGCGTCGTAAATGAGTGTCGTAACTGCGCGTCGTAAATGCGCGTCGTCTATACGTGTCGTCTCTCGTTATGACAGGGCCTTCCTTGACATGCGTTTGCGCGTCGTCTGAGCGTTTTACGACACGCATTGCGCGTCGTAAAAGACTGTTTTTCTAGTAGTGAATGGCTTAATCTAAAGGGGCATGTCCAAAATAAGCAAAACTTTCGAGTCAACCTACAATAAATCTTCTGATGCGCGTATCAGGGGGATTGACCTCAACAACGACGATCCATATGAATTTCCAACTCGTCCTATGGGATGAGACAGAGAAAAAAGAAAGTTGAAAGGAGCACAAAGTTCATCGAGTGAAGTGGAGGAGATAAGGAGTGACATCAAAGGGTTGGACGCTAAGCTTGAGGGATATTTAGAATTAGGAAAGGAAAAAAAGGAATCGTGAGCTAAAGCTTTTCTTAAAACCGGGAAATGACTTGTCCGAGGAGGATTGCCGGATTTTCAACGATACAAGGAAGGATATTGCTAAACAATACAATTGGGATAAGCCGTAGTATTTTTATGTCTTAGATGTAGTTTTAATTTATGTTTTTTGTCTAGTATTAAGTCGTATTTTAGTCTAGTATTAAGTCGTGCTTCTACTATTAAATCAAGTTTTTAGGTTTTACATAAGTTTTTAGGAAGTAAGTCTTGTTTTAATTTTTTTAATAGTATTTTATGTTTTAAATTAATGTAACATTTTTTATTTACATATTAAGTGTTTGTCTTAAAAAAAATAGAATTTATGTAATATTAAATGTTTGCGTATTAAAAAAAATAGAAATTATGTAAATAGAATTTATGTAATATTTTGTGTATTAAAAAAATAGAATTTATGTAATATTAAATGTATGTGTATTAAAAAATAGAATTTATGTAATATTTTGTGTATTAAAAAAAAATAGAATTTATGTAATATTAAATATGTGTCTATTAAAGAAATATAATTTAATTAAATTTGAGAAAAAAATAAAAAAAAATGAAGTGCTAAGAGTGTTACCACTCCCTGTGAAATGATAAGAATTAGATGGTAAGACAAAAAATGACGCGACACTCAAACAAATGACATGACAACGTGCTAGGAGTGTTACCAATCCCTTTAGCCTTAGTGGACTTTCGATTGGGCATGCTAGTGTCTCCCCTAGTGGTAAGGTGTGTGATAAATTCAACATTTCCATGCCATTCCGGTTGGATTGATCACTGGAAAATAATTCTCATCTTACCTAAAATGGAATCTTCATTTGAATTTGCTCGCCACACCATTCTCGTGCCCATGGAGATTAAGTATGTTGGCATGTCGAACTTTGAGGTTGTATGTTCAATGAGCCTTGCTCTAGCACATATCGTTTGTGTTTTGGCTAAAGGGGCAAACCATGTGATTGGGTTGGACACTTAGAGAGACCGTTTGAGTAGATCGGAGCGGGTTTTGATCATGATCTAATCCAAACCATGATCAAATCCAAACCCATGAGAATTATAAAGGTTTAGATCTTAATTTCTCATTTGTTTAACCATAATGCCCCTATCCAATTAACCCGTTTATTAAAAGGTTGGGTACAGATCATTACCAACCCGCTTCGTTATAACCCACTCTGTATAACTATTAGAATTATAGGTTATAATTGATGGGTTTTATGTACTAAGACACTCCTATGGTGCACATACAATCCTAATGCCTTGGATCTACGTTTTCTCTAATTATACATGCAACAAAAATTTATCCAAAGCATGAAACCTATAACTAGCATACAATTGATATTTGAATCATAAAAAATAGTTAGAATATTACCTCTTGTTGTAGCTTGTTGAATTTGGCCTTTCAAGAGCTTAGCACCTCAAGTGTGATGGCTCAAACGGTTCACAACACACCATGAACAAATGGAGGACTTGAGAGAGAGGTTTTGACACCAAAAATCGGCTAGGCTCTTCCTTTGAACTCATAGGTCCGATTTTAGGCTTAGGGGAATACATATATAGTGTAGAATTCCAAGAGTCATATGCAAACCCTAATTCTTACACTTAGGATTATGATCCATAACTCATATGGACTAACTCTTCATGGAAACTTACATAAACTTAGTCCATCATGGATCAATAGCCCAAACCATATGTATCACTGATTTACATAATCAGTCCCCGTTAATTTAATTAGTCTCTTTTGATCACTAAATTAATTCCAAATTGATTCTTGATCAACACTAATTAAATAGTATGATTTCTCAATTAATATATTATACTGATAATATATTAATAAATCACAAATAACCTCTTTCTCAAATATCCATCCTATCAGATTGTTCTGGTGAATGCAACCCGAAATGGACCATGCTACTCTCGAGTCTGGTACTTACCAATTATAGCTATGGGCTTAGATACCTAATCCAACAGTCTCCCACTTGGATAAGTCTAATAACTATAACCGCAAGTACGACTTAAACCGACTAGCAATCGTAGCTCTTAAAAACCGCTGTCAAACTCTGACGTGTCCATTAGATAAGGGATCATATATTCCTCCATTCTAGATATCGTATGGACTGAGACATGGATTTTAATCATTCTCACTGTCCATTTGTTGTTTCGCGATTTCCGATTTATGATGACCAACTAATTGAACAAATCAAATCAGTCCAGGCTTGGCCAAGTGCTTAGGGTTGTCATCACTAAATCATCGAGGGGCCCACATATATCGTTTTTATCCCTCTAAGGGTAAAAGGAACGGATAAACTTCGACTCATATGCTTGCTCTATCCACTCATCAAATCACACACAATGATATGTTTTATAACACCAAGTTACTTGTGCATTTACACATCATCAATGTGCAACCGACTTGTAAACTGCAACTATATGTCTCCGTTTCAAGAATATAAGATTTCTTTTAAAAGGTTACCAACTCTTTAGTTTGAGTTCAGTCACTCTCGAGGGTGTGCCCGAATCCCTCACACCAAGGCTCTGATACCAACTTGAAACGTTCCAAAAATTATAAGGTAAAAAATTCATTTTTAATGCAACCAAAAACACCAATTATCTTTTTCCAAACAATCAAAAGTATATCATAATAAAACAGTTATCAGAGTAGAATCCCAAATCATCAAGTTACAGAAACATGGTTGGATGCGATGCGATCAAGCCGGACCCTTCTCTTTCGAACCGTAAGTACCTAAAACCATAACCATAGAAACCGTAAGCACAAAGCTTAGTGAGTTCCTCAAAATACCACATACCATACATATCAATGAATAATGGGCCCAGCCCGGTATCGGGCCCCGCTCGGAACAGATCTGTCAGTCATCAGGCCCCGACCGGTATACATACAAACACATAAACACATGCAAGAATCATAAAGATAAATAACATACAATATAATCACCAGGCCCCGCCCGATATACATATAATATATCACACATGCAATATTCACGCATACAACTAGCATCCTAATCATAATAATCTATGGGCCAACATTTGTGCCTTCGACCGCCAACACAGTGAGGAAACTCACCTCAATCCATGATAACTGAACACGCGAGCTGCGGCTACCAGAATCCTCACACTGAATATAATCAAATTATCCCTAATTAATAATTAAGATAAATACATTACACTGAGCGTACTCCTATGTATGCCCAACGTACTCATCATAGGGCCAAAAACTCACATTAAGCACCTAATGCTTAAGACCAAACGTCCAAACTCAGATCTAACCTCTAGATAAGGTCTTAAACCATAAATTTGCCAACTTTACTCCTTTGCATGCCTTAATGGGAACCAAAACCAATTTTTATCTATCTAAACTAATAATATGAACATCAACTTAAGAATGCTTCATCAAAACACATCAAGATGATATTTTTATGGTTCCTAATAACTCCATAATGGATACAGTTTCCAACTTTATCCGTTAGAATGGTCCAACCAACCAAGATCTAGTCTTTAAGTCTAAAAGGGACCAAAAATGCATCTTTTCTAACTTAGTCCATTAAGTCCAAGTCTCAAGCTTTTAGATCTGAATCAATATGATGTTGAGATGGATAAAGTTTCCAAATTTATCCATAACAAGGTCACAAGCTTTCAAGATCTAAAATTTATGCACTAATGCGACCTAAAGCTCATAACACTCCAAAACTAGCTGGATCTAACAAATGCATCATCAAGATTCAAGCTTTATACCTCTAGAAGAAAGATCAAGGTGAACAAAGTCTGGATGTACAAGCTCCAATGCAACGAACACTTCTATAATTAGTTCCTTCTTATCCAAGGTGCTCCAAGAACACTCCAAATCACTTAAAACACCTTCTTTTTTCTCACAAGGCTCAAACTAGGGTTAGGGTTTCAAGAGAGGGTGTTGGAGAGGTGGAGGCTAAGAATGGAATGGGTTTGGAGGGTTAAGGAGCTTAAATAGGGCTCAAACCACGAAAATAGGGTTTGGGCACTGATTGCTTATGCTGGACATATTCAATTTACGCCCAACATACTAGGGATGCCCTAGTACGCCTAGCATACACGTTGAGTATACCCAGTGTACTCGGCTCAACCCAAAACCGCCCTAACTTCAAACGGTTATAACTTCTTCGTTTCAACTCCGATTTCAACGATATTTATATCCAATAAAAGGTGTTTAGAATCTCTACAACCCTATTGACTCTCCTTTTCCTTAAAACTTACCGAACTTAAATCCAAAATTTATAAAAGGCTCGAACTATCAATTTACGGTTATACCCTTGGGCTCCAAAGCACCAACCGAACTCTCGGATCACCTAATATACATTACCCACATCCAAAGGGGTATAAATCTCTCTTTCCCCAAGGCCTGAAGCTTTATGATAACTGGTGTTCGGGTCACGGCCCCGAATTATGAAACGATTCGAAACAGGGT